AAGAGAAATGTGACAAAACTTTCAATAAAAATAAGGGTTCCTGATACGTTTTACTAAAATGCTTTTAGGCACTATGACCATTTCCAACAAAAATACCCTTATAATAAAATCTCCATTCAGTTACATTTAAGAAAATATCATTTTCAATCTCCCATATTAAATATTATTTTTGCCAATTATTAATTATTTCTCAGCTTTCTATAAATTCCATATTTTCATGAAAAATATAAAGGGCGAAAATAAAAAATTATATTTTAATAAATAAATAATTTCGACTATTCGGTTCAAAGCCTTATAGGTCATTCTAGTTTAAATTAATTATTAAAACTGAAAAAATATATTCCATCTATCAATATTATAACGTTTATTACTTCTTTATCTGTTAAAAAAACTTTTCACCAATTCTAATATTATTTTAATTGAAATATAGATCTAATATTTGCATTTATTTTAGTTATTCTAAAGGGCCTTATGAAATAAAAAAAAATCATGTTATCTACCAAATTAAATAATAATTCTTCGTATATAATAGTCGAAATTCAGTATTATTACAGAACTATACAAAGTGTCCGCAATTACGCAGGTCAAATTTCACCAGCTAATCATATTATATAGGCTTAGTGGTTGTGATGGGCGGTGGGTAAATACCCAATGGGTATAATAAAGAGATTTGGGTATATACCCAGGATGTGTAGGGCATATACCCATTGAGGGAATATTTTGTTGAGGAATCCCCTTGTAGAATTGGAATATTCCCCTAACCTAAATTAAACGGTCTGCGTTGTGCATTATTTTTGATATAATTAAGTCTATTGTGCAGACTTTGTGGGTTAAGATAAGTAAAATAACAACAAATTGTTGTTAAAATTTGTTATAGTAAGTTAACAAAATAAACATTTTTACTTGGGTATATACCAGAATAATCATAGAATTAATTGTATCGGAAATATAGCACAACGCAGACAGTTCAATTTAGATTAGGTGAATAATCGAGTTTTAGATGGGGGTTCTCCGACGAAATATTCTCTCAGTTGGTATATACCCTACACCTTCTGGGTATATACCAGATATATACCCAAATTTCTTTATTATACCCGTTGGATATTTACCCACCGCCCATCACTCCTTCGTGGCATTGGCGTTTATGAGTAGATTTTTTTTATATAGATACTATGAGGTATGAAAAAAATATCCTTAAGGCGTAAAAATATAACATCTCCTGCACAACGGGGTATCAAATTAAGATATTCCACTTTTTTATTATTTGGATTAAAATCGGTTATAAAAAAACGCCCATTCTCACTGGTTACTTCTTCAACTCGAGAAGATTTTCAGTTAAAAGCTTTTTCCTGTTAACAAAAAAAAAGATCTATTAAGACATCTGACGACAGTTTTTTTTTTTCTAAATATGTAATTTCCTCTAACGAAACCCCGCTTCATTGTACGAAATAAAAAGAATATTTTTTTCATACCCTTCTAGTTAGGTTTCCAACAAAAGTTTCCAGTGCTTTTCATAGACAAGGAAAAACCGAAAATCAATTTATTTATTTGACGGACGAGGCTTCATGCGGTCTAGTTGATGATTAGATTGATGACAGAAAAATCACTCGACAGCAAAGAAAAATTGGCCAAAGAATGACACTTCTGTAGAGCATTTAATTTATATTTAAATTTTACATTGCGATTGTCTGACGATTTTAGAGTTCTTACTCAGAGCGATTATGACTGTTTAATGGTCTATACTATGCTTAAGATTGACGAGATTCGATAGCTTAATATGCTTATACAGTGTTATATTCGTAGCTACGAGTATATAAGACTACGATTTAAAAAGTACAGGCAACGGCCCAGCTACGTCGAAACACCGGTTCCCATTAGAACACCGAAGTTAAGCGACGTAAGGCGATACTAGTGGATGGACGGGTGATCGGTTCGAAACTCTGTATCGTGCTGTTGTCCTATAAAGGCAAAAGTGTAACATCTGTTGACACACACTGCTCAATCACGCCGGCTCGAGGCCGGATGAGATCGGATATCTCGTGAGCAAGAGTCGATTTAGACACTTGCCAAGTCGGTAGGCCATTGACCATGTTATGGCCGAGGACCGGGGTTCGGATTCCGCGTAAACAAAGTGGCCCCGTCCAGATTAGCTTTGGCAGCAAAAAGGAGACGTTAACTGAAATCTTTATTTTTTACTTAAAAAGTACAATGATTAAATGCTTAAGAGTCCATTTCACTAGTCCAAAAAAGTAGCAAAATAACCGCATTTAACGTTTTATGTAAAACTGGCTAGGTATTTTTACGCAAACGAAGAAGGAAATTAAAGATGAAGAATTATACTATATCCGTATTGTAGCACATTTTTCGACAACTGCTTTATTTTTAAGATTTTGATGGTCAAGCATCAACAAAATATTCCTTATGTTTGGAGTAAATTTTCGCAAAAATAAAGACATAATTTAATATTCCGTTACAATACAGAAATAGATTGAAGTTTTGTGATTACAGTGATATATAATTTATATGGTTTTGTAACAAATTGCTCGCTATTTGATGGCAAATGCTGAAGCTCTGCAAACCTTAATCAAGCCTTAATCAAAGCAGCCGTGTTTGGAATTTTAGGTGTGGCTTCATACGACAGGATCGGGCTAAGCCTTAGGCAGATTTCTGAAATATAATATATATTTCCTTTGGCCACACACCCGCTTTACCCGACCCCTGAGAGCATCCCGAACACTACAGCGTAATAGACTCTTATGTTAAAAAAATACCGAATTATTTGTTCCTATACATATGTATACCCAGCCCTAGAATGATAATAGATTTCAAGCAAACGATTTGATAAATACTCAACTACTTTGTAGGAACAAAATCTAGTTTATTGATTTTTAGTACACTAATTGAAAATTTAATCTATGTTGATATTATTAGTCATTGCGAAGAAGTTCAAAGATAAAATATGAGTAATTATTTATTTTTTATGTACTTTTCTTTATATTACAACTTACCAAAGGGACTTTACAGTCGTATTGTAATAATAGTTACCTTAAAACTAAACAAATATTAAGCTGTTTTTCAGATAACAATAAAAATCTTTCTTATTATATATATTTTCTCATTTCAAATTCTGAAATTATATCTGATTTGTACGGAAATAATTATTTTAAAGCTGAAATATATTGTCAATTTTAATGAATAATATTTGATAAATCAATACCTATATTTTAATTGTAACAAGAGGTAAATTATGTAATATTAAAAAGGTAATTGTGTCGATGAGAACAAATTACCTTAAAATTAAACGTATGGATGAAGTGACCCCGTAATTTAGCCTAGGATTAATCTATTAAACCATGTTAAATACAAATCATGCAGATAGGTAATTATTATTCTCATTACTATGGGCAATAAAAAGGTATATGCCCATCAAGATGCCGGAAATGTAGAACCTCCAACCAATTGTTTACTTGTTTCTTTTTTGTTTGTTTGTTTTCTTATTTACTTCTATTAACAGTTAGACGAGTATCCCCGATATAAAGAAATGGCTCATTAATTACTTGTTATTTAGGCTGGAAAATTTTAAATTATCTTCAGTTAAATTGTCACAGTCGAAAGAAAATTACCGTGGAATGTAAAAAGCTAGATACCAGGCCATTCGACGTTAGAAAAAGTTATTAGTAATAATACGTTTTTGTTTTTTGTTCTTTTTTGCTTTAATGTCATGATTTTCTTGTAAATTAGCGGCTTTAAAGCCAACGGCATTAAAGGAATAACAATCTAGTGTAAATAGTTTTTTAGATTATTTGTTTCCTCATTAGAAATGTGTGGTGTAGAAAATAATATGTAATTTACACACAATTTCAAGATCAATTTTTGTCTTAGCTAGAAAATTTTGGGGTAAATAATCAATACAGTAGAAGCCTAAACGGGCAGCATCAAGTTACAGGGGTACTTCTCTCTAGGGACAGTGACCATAATCAGAAATATTACAGAGATTATCCTCAGCTTTAAGCTATGATACAGACCCCTCAGTTAGTTCTATAATATTGTTTGATAACACTGTGGATAATAACTTTTAGTTTGTTAATCTTGTATAAAACTTACATTTCTTAACAAATTTTGGGGTTGCCCAGTGTAATCAATCAAAATTGGAATGTAAATGAAAAAAAGGAAATATGAGTACTGCCAACAATATAATTAAAAATTCAGTTTAAAAGTTTAGAAAAAATTATAACATACAAAACCATCGTTTTGTATTGGGAAAATACAAATTTCAGCAAAAGTTCAGAGAGAAGATTTTTCTCAATACCAGTGAAAACACTGTAAACGGAGGTCTGATAACATTTAGAGTTTAGCTAAATAAACTAGCTTCTAGACATCTTAGAACCACAAAATACTAGAAAATTGAAGCCTCTTATATTTAGGATAGGTAATATTTAACTATATTTTAGCTTTTAATTTTTGTGCTACTCCTTACCTTTCATTAGTTGTTTGATGCAAACCATATTATCTTATATTTTCATAAAAATCTCTTTATTTTAACAAATTTCCTCATACGTATGTAATCAGTAACGGAAAAGTAAGCTTCAAGATGACCAATTCCTCGTTTGTTCCTACTGTAGTATCTTTCTTTACACTAGCCAAATTCCATACTTTTTCCATTTTGAATTGTCTTTTGTTTTTTTGATTTTATCCATTATCTCCATATATTTATCCAACGGCTCAAGAAACTGCCAGCTAAAAACTATACAGAGGTTTAAATTGTTATGCCAATATTAGATATAACATGCTTTTATCTCTTCAGCAGAGAGTTATGAAAAATCTTAAATTTCCATCTTTATTTCTTACTATTTATTTTCTTTTGAAATATTTAAAAATATAAAAATCGTTGTACTTTAGTTATTTGGATAACAAGTATAACTTTTAAAGGTTCTGTATAGGTGTAATTCTGTTAACCTCTTTGGAGAATGTCAATTTCACAATTTTGTAACGTCAAAACGTTAAGTTTATGACGTTTAAGTTCGCACCGTATTTTTTGTCTTAAAAACTCCCAAAAGTAGGAAAAATGAATACAATTTCGATATTCAGAGATAATTTCAACATAAGCATCCTTACAGACAAAAGATTGAAAGATTTATTGAAGCATACTGAGAAAATTTTAAAGAACAAGTAAGTTGAACTTGCCAATTCGTATATTATACACAATTACTAATAAAAACTGAGATTTCATAGATCTTGTGGAACTTCTCATGTTTATTAAGCTCTTTGACATATATTTAATAATTTTTAGAAAGCTAATTGACTCTTTGCCTGACCAGGGAAAAAATTTAAAAGATCAGTATGAGAAACTGTTACTGGAGGCGCATAAAAGAAAATATCAAATATGTTTGGATGAATTACATACCCTGCTAAACTATGTTGAAAAAAGGAGAGATTTTGTGAATAGCTGGTTGACAAAATGCGATATGACCTATCAGGAAAAACCCGAGCTTGACGAAGAAAGAAAAATCCGTAAAGTAAAGCAGCGATCTCGCTCATTACCTATTCTAGATTAATATATATTTGGGTGTTTTTAACACAAAAATGTTACCAAATCTTCTGTGAACTAACTAAAAAAGTATTCTGTTCGGCCTATTCAGCCTCTCCAAGAGAGCACTTTAAATTTGTTAACACGATACTGATTTCACCTAAATAAAAAACTTTAAAAACGTTTTATCCGTATAACTTTACACGTTTAATTTAACTTTTAAACGAATATCATTTTGGTTTATTCTTATGTCAGCAAGAATGAAAAAGCTTTAGAATTTGTGTTACTTTTCATTGAAATTTATATGTTTATTTTTAAAAATTATAATTTACTTACATGCATAACCAAAAAACAAATAGCACACAACAGAAAACTTACAAATAGCATAGATATAGATTATGGAATACAGATTATTATGTGTTTATTCTTCTATGGCATATATGTCAGAAGTTATGCCCATCATGTCATGTGGTAAGCAAAACATACCAAATATTGATTATTATTGATTTTTTATAACATGAACAACATTTTTGAAAGCAAAAACTATAATAATGGAAATAAACTGGACCTGCAACCAGGGTTCGGAAAACTACATGTTACTTTTAAAAACTACATAAACTACTTTACATGTAGTTAAGGTAGTTTATGTAGAGGGTGTAGTTTATGTAACATATGTATGTAACTTTCAAATGTCAAAGGTTTGAGGTGAGGTTATAATAAGTTGAAGCTTTAGAAAAACACATAATGTATTTAAGAAAACAGAAGAAATATGGCTTTAAATATAATATTCACACACATCATATTATTTAGACCCCTCATACAAAGCAAAATTATTCATAATATCAATACATAGTTTATTAACGTAGTTTTCATGTAGTTAATGGGTAATGGTGTGGATCCGGTGGCTGACCTTGAAACGAGTTTTTGCTGCATATAGTCACAGACACTACGCATGCGCACATCTTCGATGTTGCCAGATTGCAAGTTATTTTGGAATTATTTTCAGTAGAAAACAAATATGTGCTTTTCTGTGTTTTTTTGTCAATATATACAGTATGATCGAAAAATCGGCGTCCAGTTGGCTGGGAAATGACGATTGAGGGCATTTCCCATATAAAATGACAGCGATCTTCATTTCATAGTCATCGCTGACGCTATTTTTTTCAATCATAGTACACGGTATATTATTTATACCGTATGATCGAGAAAAAACGGCGTCAACGATGGCTATGAAATGAAGATCGCTGTCATTTTATATGTAAATTTATATGGGAAATGTCATCGATCGTCATTTCCCAGCCAACTGGACGCCGTTTTTTTTCGATCATACGGTATTATTATTTTAATATTTCGCACAACACGTGAAACGTGAACGCTTATTATGTATTTTTATAGTCAATAAAATTAAATAGAAATAAAATTCTAGATTCCTATAATTAATCTAATTGCTCTAGATTATTATGCTATACGTTTAAAAAGTGCTTTATTAAAAATTCGGTAAATATTAAAAGGGATGTGTCCAAGTTGTTTTTTATTTTTAAATGCTGTAGCTCCATGTCATGTTCATAATAGTTTTTTTTTAACATTCCATCAAAACTATGGAGGCCTTAAAAGGTCTTTTAGCCTCCGTAATTAAAATTGTAGAATCATCTTGAGCAACATTTACAGTTAACTTGTTTAATTCTGCTTATACATATATTGCATTAATTTTTCTGCTACCTTAAGATTTCTCTATTCTTACACCTAATTTATGTGATTTTCTTAGCATAATATGATTTATAAACCATATTTTTCCTAATGGAAGGATGGAATAGGATATGCAAAATTAAGATATTTTAACATTTATTTTCCAGACAAAGCATAATATAGTATTAGGATTAAGACATGACAAATATTATAAGAAAGATCTTAATATAAATCACAAACTAATCTTAATTTGGTCTTGTATAAACACAGGTGTAAAACTAATAAGATCAAATCTCAACCTTCACCATATTGACAAGATTTGGCATTATAGCAAGAAATTACAGTAAATTTAGAAAGAAAGAATATCAAAGTACACAATATTAAATACTGTAATGTATTCTACGACACAAACCATCTCCCTTCTAAAGAGAAAAAGATAAAACATAAAGCTTATTTTAGTCTTATCAACACACTCTTCGATAAAATATATGTCTAAAATTGCTCTTAATCCACTAACTTGATATTTTTAAGAAATTATGATACAAATAGTATAATCAAAGTATATTATATTATAGTAACATTATAGGTAAGATGTTACCTCTAACTCCCATTGACGTGTATTGTTCTATGTATAAGACTCGTCATGGTAGTATTTCAAAACATCAATACATATAATCAAAACTATTGTTGCCTGTAAATAACTAGAAATTAAATAACTTGAAAGAAATAAAATAATTCTAATAAGTTTAAAACCATTAAGAAGAAATCCGTACATGATAATTTTTAATTTTAATGTAAATATATAAATAAATGTTATTATTATTACAATTTTATATATTCATAATTCTTTCATTTCACAATCTTCATTATTCTTCTTATCTTAATTTTGGATATCAAGATAAATCTGAAATTATAAAATTAATTATATAGAATTTGTATTATTATTGATTAACACTCAAAAAAAATTTTTCAACTGCAAATAATTCGAAAATAAACTGCAAATTGGCAACATCGAAGATGTGCGCTTGCGTAGTATCGATGATCAAATGCAGCAAATATGGCCTTCAAGGTCAGCCACCGGATCCACACCTTTACCAGTTAATGAACGGGGAAAGACGTAGTTTTTGAAGAAAAACTACACGTAGTTAATCAGGTAAATTACGTCAATCTAGAGATTTGTCCACTGTTCTGTGGTTATTTTTGTAATTGCCTTTCCTACAACATGCATTTCATTAAATTATATTTTTAAGGTAGCTATCGGCCTGTTACACTGGGACCTTTTCAGATCTGTTTTGGGACTCTTCTGATCCTTAGGTATGGAGGGTAGATCCTTAGGTTACAATCTCCAGTCTAAAAGGGACCCTACACGCAACAATCTGCATGCCAAAATTTGATCCCACAGTTCAGATCATAAGACCAAATAGATAGCGATCTTTTCACACTACACGTTCAGATTTTACAAAAGATAATTTCGCAAGTCGATAGTCTAATACAGTTCCCGCCAAATGTGTGGTATGTGCCATTGGTCTGTGCAGTTAAAAATATTCAGCATGCTGAAGGATCGCAGATCTCATCTCTTCGATGAGATCTAAGGACAATACAGTCCAAATCTCTCGGATGTTACGTGTAGGGCCCTTTCTATACTTTTCAAAAAGTCTAGCAACTTATAGACTCAACCTTTCAGCTTTTTGTTAATTGGCTAGTTTCAGATTCAAATTCAGATTGACAAAATCTCCACGGCTCATATCAACTTATGGTAAAGGTGTCGATCCGGTGGCTGACCTTGAAGCCCATATTTGCTGCTTTTGATCATCGATACTACGCAAGCGCACATCGTCGATGTTGCTAAATTGCAGTTTATTTTCGAATTATTTGCATTTGAAATTTTTTTTTTTGCGTGTTAATGAATAATAATACAAATTCTATAATTTCAGATTTATCTTGATATCCAAAATTAAGGTAAGAAGGATAATGAAGATTGTGAAATGAAAGTATTATAATATACCGTATGATCGAATAAAAACGGCGTCCAGTTGGCTTGGAAATGACGATCGATGGCATTTCCTATATAAATTTACATATAAAATGACAGCGATCTTCATTTCATAGCCATCGCTGACGCCGTTTTTATTCGATCATACGGTATAAAATTGTAATAATAATAACATTTATTTATATGTTTACATTAGAATAAAATTTATCATTTACGGATTTTTTCTTAATGGTTTTAAACTTATTAGAATTATTTTATTTCTTTCAAGTTATTTAATTTCTAGTTATTTACAGGCAACAATATTTTTGATTATATGTATTGATGTTTTGAAATACTACCATGACGAGTCTTATACATAGAACAATACACGTCAATGGGAGTTAGAGGTAACATCTTACCTATAATGTTACTATAATATAATATACTTTGATTATACTATTTGTATCATAATTTCTTAAAAATATCAAGTTAGTGGATTAATAGCAATTTTAGACATATATTTTATCGAAGAGTGTGTTGATAAGACTAAAATAAGCTTTATGTTTTATCTTTTTCTCTTTAGAAGGGAGATGGTTTGTATCGTAAAATACATTACAGTATTTAATATCGTGTACTTTGTTATTCTTTTCTTAATTTACTGTAATTTCTTGTTTCCTATAATGCCAAATCTTGACAATATGGTGAAGGTTGAGTTTTGATCTTATTAGTTTTATAAGAATAATAATAATAATAGAAATACAAGACTAAATTAAGACTTAGTTTGTGATTTATATTAAGATCTTTCTTATAATATTTGTTATGTCTTCATCTTAATACTATATTATGCTTGGTCTGGAAAATAAATGTTAAAATATCTTAATTTTGCATATCCTATTCATCCTTCCATTAGGAAAAATATGGTTTATAAATCATATATGCTAAGAAAATCACATAAATTAGGTGTAAGAATAGAGAAATCTTAATGTAGCAGAAAAATTAATGCAATATATGTATAGACAGAATTAAACAAGGTAACTGTTAATGTTGCTGAAGCTGATTCTACAATTTTAATTACGGAGGCTAAAAGGCCTTTTAAGGCCTCCGTAGTTTTGATGGAATGTTAAAAAAATCTATTATGAACATAACATGGAGCTACAGCATTTAAAAATTAAAAAAAGAAAAATTTGGACACATCCCTTTTAATTTCCCGAATTTTTAATAAAGCACTTTTTAAACGTAGCATAATAATCTAGATAGGAATCTAGAGTTTTATTTCTATATAATTTTATTGACTGAAAATACATAATAAGCGTTCACGTGTTGTGCGAAATATTAAAATAATATACCGCGTACTATGATTGAAAAAAATAGCGTCAGCAATGACTATGAAATGAAGATCGCTGTCATTTTATGGAAATGTCCTCAATCGTCATTTCCCAGACAACTGGACGCCGTTTTTTCGACCATACGGTATATATTGACAAAAAAACACTGAA